GAGCCGACCGGTGTCGGTGAACCACAGTTTCCCTAGAGGAGTTGACTCAAAACCACACCGTGATTGTGGCAGTGGTCACCGGCTTAATTGGGACCTTGGACGCTTAGCCCCGTCCAAAGAGTGTATGATCCCATGGACTGGACACGAGACCACAATTGATTGCGACCAATGAGCTAACTGGGAGTCTATGGTAACATTATACTTTCATGTTTAGTCTACGGGTCGAGAGACACAGTTGTTTCATCTAGTGCTCAACCGCGGAATGATCATTTGTCCCGGTGGGTCACATTATTGTGTTGCATGTAGGCCTTTTCCTGTAGGTTTCGACAGGAAAAGGTTGGTCACGTGACCTCCAAATGGACCAGAGCAAGTATTGTATTGCTCTACGTCTTACTCGAGAACTGTAAACTGTATTGATTTTTCATAGATAGCCTGTGCTTCAAGCAATTAGTACTATGTGCATGTACTACATGCGGCTCGTGCTCTTTTTCGAACAAACCCACTAACTCGCAAAAGTCGCAGACACAAAACCCTTGTAACAGAATCCCCTGCGAACTTATAGTGTTACTATGGGGCCAACTACTGTGTGAGAGTGAGTCGGTCTCGGAAGCTATGCACGACTTTAAGATACAAGTAATCCATTTGTATTTTTTGACCATGGTGATTTACGACCACAACAGGTGACTGAAACGAGTATCATCGTGAACAAGGTGTTACGAATAGAGCCCTGTAGCAGGACACCGGCGAACACAGTCAAAAACAGCGAGAGACGGCGATTTTGCCTCAGAATGCTTTCTGAGCGAACAGCATAACCACTTAGACTCTCTCGTTGGGCCTTCGGAATGTAGCGCAGTGATCTTAGGTCTTGGGCTCTTACTGGTCACATCCCGCAGTCTGAGTTCAGGAGAGAGCGAGTGGTCGCTCCATAGGCTCATTGCTGAGTACAGAGGCTGATTCCGTAGCGCGTCCATATTGTTTGACTAAATTTCACCTCGGGGCTGGGCCATTGGGGTTAACGGAGTGGAGTTTGAATGGATTCTATTAGCGATCGGATGTTGCGACAGGACCTCCTCAGTCAAAATGGCTTTGATTTACTGTTTAGTTCCACAAAAATTTATTTGGCGACGTGACTGAATCGTGAATAAATGTTCTCTCGCGTTTTTCGATATCGAGGTCCACGATTGCAAGTCAAGTGACTGCAATAACATAAATTCCCGTGTTTTTCTTGTCAACTATCACCGGCTCTTCGGATTTGACACAATTTCCGGTGAGTTCAGCCGTGCACTTTGACCCCTGTAAACTGTTTGCTGCAGATTGATATAAACGTGTCAACACTCCCTACTGACCTGGTTCCCGCCCTGACAAATCTCCCGATATTGACGAGATAAGACCGATCGACTGGGTTCGCTAGTCGTGACAACCAAACCCGTTCAAGGTGCCAAACGACCCTTAATCAAATAGGGGCACGGCCAACGACGAAGTAGAACAGCACACCCTAAAATTGGACTGCTGGGGTAAAAGTGGGTTCGAGCTCGAGAACATCAGGTGGTGACGTCAGAGAAATATCTGAAAACTTCATTCGCTTACGCATTTCATTCAGACTTTAACAGTTGGAACGGACAATCAAACGCACGGGACAGTAGGTATGGCAGTAAAGGACCCCCGCTCAAATTCAAGATCTCAGACTCCACACCTTTAACTTCGCTGTCTGATACAAACAACTTTAGGCTCGTCTCTCGAGATAAGGGGACAGCAAACAATGGCCAAGCCGGTATGGGGATAACAGTGGATGCTGTGGCGACAACTAACCCTATCCTGTTTGGACATTATTGTTTCACCGGACCCAGGCAACCTAGGCAGTCGCCACACATTGGCTTTAACTTTCTGTACGCAAACTCAGCAATATAACTTTCTCGTCCCGCTGTTGAGGTATTCGGATATCTATCTTCCCTTTTGGTTCGTCCGTTGTTCGACATACACGCTTCGTGGACACTGATGGTCTAGGTACTGAAGAAGAGCTGAGGTATACTACCTATATTGGATCCTGACCGGCAATCGGCAGTGCCACAGGAACGAGGACCAGATAATAGGGATAGGCATTTGACCATTTGCTTTGAAATAGTGTTTCTGTTTAAAAAATGCATCCTTATCGAAAGACTGGAGCCACAGTGACAGTGGACACAAGTGACGATTGCGTAAAACAACCGCTTTGGTCGGAACATCGCCTTGGAAACGATCAGTGTGACGAACTCCCAACTGTTTAGAAATGGTCAGAATCAACAACACCCCGGGGGGGGGGTCAAATCTGCCCGATTATCGTCATCGCGTGTTCTGCACGGGGAGGCGGCACACTGCTTCATGGTGAGCGCCGTATCACACACTTCTCGCTCTGAACAGATAACCTTTTGATGCACTGACTTCTGCTGTTGCCAAAGTTAGTATAAATTAGCATCTCTTAAAATCTTTTTCCTCCAGGTATCCCCCGCTGACTGAGTAGGCTTCATGAACATCTAGGTCGGCGGCTTTTCATGCATTGTGGTCAGTGGTGAGATCAAACATGCCTATCCCACATTCCTTTATCAAATCACGCGTACATTTTCACTCTCATTTAAGCAAGACAAACTTCTTTTGCATTCCAAGCCAAACTCGAAGCACCGTAGCGATGATCCTGTGTTGACTATTGAACAACCTTGTATGATTCTGGAAGTTTATAATCATTCACATATATATACATATATATATATATATATATATATATATATATATATATGTTCACCCGGTTTGGCTTATTTCAAATTAACTCTCTGGAATGCAAATGAAGTTCATGAAGCCTAACTGACATTGAGAGTACTAATGTACGCAGGACTTGTAAAAGACCACGGGATAGGCATGCCTGAGGAGCGTTAAGGATCGCCAAACTCGCGTACTTCTGCACGTGTCATGCATGGCATCAGAAAAGCTTACCAAGTGTGTGGAGTTAGTTGGGGCAGGTGATAAATATCCTAAATAATGTCAAATAATGAGGCTGGAAATTCAGTTTCATTGTAGCTTGTATATTTGCGCTCCTACAGTTTCCAGCTTTCTACCTCCTCCCTCCCACCCACTCCATCAAAAAATGAACAAGTATAACAATCGAACACAAAATCGGCACCATGTGAATGGCAAAATACAGCACGGAAACTATGTAAGAAACTTACTTCACTGTGGTTGCCTGGGGTTAGTGTTTTGGAGCACTTCTCACATTTCAGGCATGGTCTGTGCCAGTCCTTGCCGAGTGAAGTGACTCGCTCAGCTGTACGAAGATGGAAGATGAGAATTTGATTCACACTAACCGAAATAGACCTCCTTCATGCACCTGGGGCACTTAGGCATCGTGAGCGGATGCGATTGATGTCAGTTGAGCAAGCACAATGGATGAACAACTTATCACGGTGGTTGCGCGATTTTAACGGGGCCGCGTAGTCACGACGTGGTTGATCTGCTTTGGGAATGGTCAGAACAATGCCACTTGGCCCCCAATATGCACACACGCTTGCGCCAAATCATAAATGGGTGACAGACAGACGCGTGGGCGATTGGCTCACACGGCGTGTTCGCGCTCACGTGTGTGCATATACGTCTGTGAGAGCGTGTGTTCGTGTGCTTCGTTTCTCAGCCTAGCTCAACTGACGGACGTGTAACTCAAGGTCACCACACGGTCCACGTTGTTTCGCCTAGCGTCACGTGGACGATGAAAGAGTTTCGGTGATTGGTTGACAATGTTGTACAGTCGGACGGCCAGCAGTGTAGGGCTCATGCAGAGCTGGCGAGACATCAACCTGATCAATCAGTCTGTCGTCACGGTTGGTCAGCGGTCCGTTTTTCGTTCAGGCACCACTCGTTCGACCCCTAGTGCTACGTTCCGCGTGAAGTCCTTCTTTCTCGGTTGTTTTTAGAAAAGTTGTATTCAGTTTCATGAAGCCGGTTCGGTATTAGTTTATTGAGGTTAATACAAAACTGATGTGCAACCTTACCCTGAGACCCTCGGTTGGATTGAGATCATAACTGCAAGCAGGTCTTTCAAAAGCATGCGTTCTACACCAAATTCCATGCCTTTGTGATATATGACGTGTCGTTTGTCGTATTGAAAGTCTGTTATTCCACCTATAATCGTCAGGCCAAGCGACAAAACGAAGCGTTCAATTGTTCGTACAAGTCGTTGAGTTTCGGTTACCATCCAGCATTGTCAGCCACCAAAAATTCCCGGAGACCATAAACGGCCGTCTATCATTAGGTGGACTATTAAGCACGATTTTTCCGGCTCAATAATAATGACAACATTCCGACTAGGTTAGGCTTTGTCTCGTTTTAAAAAATCGCTCGTTTTCACTGATGCGCCGAGCGAATGTGGGTTTTGGTATGCTGTATCCGATCTTCACTTTTATTCGAGGAAATTACCCTTCTCATCTTTACAATTCAGTATTAAAATGTCCACCACACAATTCTTGTGAAGTCATTAATCGGAGTTCTGCTTTGATTGATGAAAAAACAATTACCTTGTCTAAAGTTGAGAGGATAATTTGACACTATTCTTTTTATCAGAAAGCTCGTACGTTCACTTTCTCAACCCCTCTCTCCACTTGCCACTGTGTACTACCGAGGAAAACGGTAAAATCGATGGGCCAATTCTCGCCCCGGGATATCGAAGGGCATGATACACCGTTCAATCGGTGACGGACGAAATACCAATCATCTTATGGGGTTCCCACAAGAGTGCGATGGGTTGGATTCACTTGAGGTTGGAAAGGTATATACAGTCAATCTCCTGCTATGTCACACCCCTCGGGAATTCGAAAAAGTGGGTAAATTTTAGGGACTGCGACATGGCAGGGTAAACAGCAGTAGATGCTAATAAGNCTAATAAGTAGTATATAAATCGGTTGACACTTTTGTGACAAAATAAACCGGATCGATGAAAAGTAGGTTAATCTCGTTAGTTGTTCTCGATGTTTATAATTATAACCTGTTTATTTATAACGAAATTTAGATCCACCGTCCTGCGTAGCCCTTATGTGTCGATGAAATTTAAATGTTTTATGACGCCCTCAGCCTAATATCGGTACTTTGCATACGGTATTCAGCCCGTTTCCGTTTTATGTGTCTAGCTATCCCGAATCTATATATCTTTCTGACCCAGTTATCCCGTATTATTTTCAGATATTCCTTCATTCCGTTGCAATGTTAGGCTAACCATAGAATTGATTAAATGACGTCCACTATAATATATAACTGTTTTAGCTACAATAATGACATCAAGGAAAACAAAGGTGAACCAGTTCGAATACAGTGAGAAGGTATTAGCACCCAAAATGTGTGAAATATCTGTTATGGGGTATACTCAAAACATTGACTTCCTTCCCATATTCAAACTGATTGTTCGCCGTGCAATCTATTCATGATTTTCTAGTGAAAAATGTGTCATTAGCGTTCGCAGACGTCTGTTCGCTCGTTCTCTTTTATTGTTACCAGTGTATGTCCAAAACGATTGGTGCATTCATCATGACCGTTGTTGGTCAGACTAAGTACAACACGCAATGCCAGAACGTGTTACACAAACCATGCCTTCTTAAATTTAAGATCACCGAGTGTCAAATTAAACTGTCATGTTGTTATGTGGATAGTACGATAGTACGATTATTCATTCCATCTTTTCACATTGTCTTGTAATTTTGTGATGACCTTGTTGTCATGTCCAGTCCATCCGTGTGGTGAGGCACGCTTCCTGTACAGTCGAAGTTCACTGACCCTGCTAAAGACTTGCGGTTGTAGACAAAGTGTGGTCTCTCGCTCGGGTTAGCTGGGCAAACACCACGGCCCTTGTTGCGGCTGAAACCTTTCGATCGACCGATAAATGAACCCGATCGGTCGTGTGATTTTCGGGCCGGCACAAGAGGAGGTTAGGTTCCGAATCCGATGCTGCCTAAGTGTTGGTAGAGAATCACTAGAGGAGAACCAGTTGTAGAAGGATGCGCCATGTGGGAGATACGGAATGGAAAAAGTTCAAGCCATGATGACACTAGGCCAACGTTTGACCCGTCTAAGATACACGCACTATTTTCCAAGCGGGTTATCGCGCAAATTTTCCGGCAGGCGTGAGGCGAGAGTTTACCTGGAAGAAATTCTGTTCAGCCAACCGGAGGCCATAAACGACAGCCTACAGGAATTACGGCAACTCAAGCATTTAACGATTCATGGACTAAAAGTGCATCTCACAAACTGCCCTTAGATTCGGGTTACGTTGACCTTTGGCAAGTGACCTGTCTAATTTCATCGGTGCTCTAGGACAAGTGAGAGTATCGTTCATTAATTCACACAGACGCGTCCGCGAGACGGTGGTTATCGATCGCTCGGGTCTGACATTTCATTCCACTCACCTGCATACCAGGCAATCGCGATTATCGCTCACTCGTTTGCACGTTAGTGCGACAGAGCACATCGAATGGCGGTGCCTTGGTGACCACTGTAGCAAAAATGACCACATTCGAGTGTCCCACAGTTCAGTTCAATACCCCACAGAATGGAAAAAATCTTTGTAGATTACAAAGATGTATTTTTAGCAAAATCATAAATCGTCGTTTTTCTCAGCTTGGCTCCCCTTTGGAAATCAACAAATGCGTTGTTTAAATCAATTGTACACTCCAATAATCGACCCGAACTCTAAACATTAGCCAAGGCATCATTTGATCCAATAACTTCTGCGCCTCTCTGATTGAGATAACTTACGGTGCATTCACTGCTTCACGTTCATCTTATTCTTTGCGATGCTTAGCTTTATTCGAAACGAATTCATCTAATGACTAAAACAGAGACTTGGTACACAAATTTTAAATAACCCGCTTCTTCATCATCAAAGTCCAAACAGACGATTTCCTCTTCAAAAAGACGGTCATCAATAGACACAAAATGAGTAAAGTCCTCGATTAAATCGCATTTATCCCCTGGTGGCTTCATCACCGGCTGAATCAACGTGGATTTGAACCCTGGTTTCATGAAAGCGTTGATCAGTACATGCGGGTGCATAGACATCCAAGTTTTTTGACCAGATGCACGACCGTGAGAATGTCCACCTCAGCTTTCATGACAAGTTGCTCATCTTCGATCAAAGACAAAATATATTCCAGTAAATTTTTCCGTAACGAAAATCTGAAAGACCCTATCACGCCCTGATCCATTGGTTGTAGAATTGAAGAACAGCTCGGAGGCAACCGTACCGATTTGACGTTGGAGAATTCTGCGGTTTGGTTATGGCAAGGGACGTTGTCTATAAACAATAGAATAGAGAGCTTTTGGAAAACCATTTTGCGGTTGACATCGGACAACCAATTATGAAATAACGCAGAAGTCAACCATGCGTTCTCGGAAGCATTATAACTGCATGGAAGGCTTTTTCTATCTATACCTCTGAGGCGTCGTGGATTTTGAAACTTTCCAATGACCAACGGTGATAACTTTTCTCTAATCATGCTCCCACGAAGCAGTAATGTGACTCTTGTTTTGGATTTCTTGGATTCAGAAACTACTTTTCCTCTGAGGACTAAATGTTCTATCTGGGATCTGCTTGTTATTCCAAGCTGTTTCATTTACATTGAAAATATCTTAGTCAGCATATCCATGGATCAACTGCGATAACCCGAACGGAAAACACGGTGGTTTCTCCTGAAGACTGACAACAACAACAACAACAACAACAACTACTACTACTACTACTACTACTACTACTACCATTACTACTACTACTTTTAAAGTGATCAAAACATAGAAATTGAAAATTTTATTTCGAAATTAAAAAATCAACGGCATGAACTTGTCACATGGATGCATGGAACATTTCCGTTTTATGTACACGGATAGTAGCTGTAACAAATTGAGATGTTCGTTTACTCTGATCATATAAAATGAGACTCGGATAAAGAGCAAGCTGCAAAGGCTTTAGAAGAGGTAGCCAGAATTGTCATCATCGTCAATATCATCGTACAGCGAAATACAGTGGTCGTTGCCAAGCTGACAATGTACACAAAGCAAGTGATAAAGTGCAAGACGCAAAGGGATTGGGCCTAATTGGAGGGAGGTTAAGAAAGTGAACCTCTATGGTCAACACAGAGTACACAGTCCAACTGTGCATAAATACCTTTTCAAATATTATGACCTGATAACAAATATCAACAAGAACACCACTGCTTTCGTTTGTTCGTCATATCCTTCACTGTCTCCACCTAACCAGTTCGCATATTCTTTCGGACTTCGACCTGGAAGACGGGAGACACCCATTCTACCTATTCGATCTATGCGTTTCTTCAGGCCTCGTTTCCACGTCACCTCCATGACCTCAATGT